TTGTGGAACAAGGCAAGCTAAGTGACACTTTTGGAATGCTCTGCATATTGCAGCAGATCTGTTCCTCAGCTCTGCTTGTACTTGTCTGGGAGTTCTGGATGATTGGTGTGTGTAAAGGACCAATCTATTGATCCTGTGCATCCCTCATGAGGATGAGGATCACTGTCGAAGAGAAAGACAAGGTCAGGTCACCTATGGGAGACCGGCCCCCTTACCCATTTTATCGGTCTAAAGCTTCACAGACAGGCCTCAAAATCACATGATCAATGATGCCTCAGTAAAAGTGGAAACAGAAATAATGTGAGGTGTAAACTCTCCAGCAGAATGTAGATCACAGGACGGATCTACTTTCAAGTAAAGGGAATTATTTTATTCATTTTCATGATGAGCGTTTCAAAATTACGGCCAAAAAAGTGGAATGAAAATAACAATGATTGCCGGGTATTATGTTCAAAACAATAATATCTTGACTTGGTGCCAATCAGTGATGTACTGAGGCAACACACACACACACACACACATACGCGCACAAATTTGTGTGCAAATCAAATGTCTGTTTCCTCTCTCTTTCCAACTCTCTACCACACTCTCTTCTACACGCACACACACACACACACACACACGCACACACACACACACCCTTCCTCCATCATGAATAAACCATACTGTGTCTGTGAGTCATATACCACCCCCACATCCCTCTCTAACCCACTCCCCCATTCGCTGCTGCAAGAGTAAAAACGCTAATTAACGTGATGGCTAGCTCCAGCTCCTGTCAGCAGCTTGTGGGGGCCTCACATCCAGCCAGGCTCCACTGGTCTCTGGTTTTAGCAGCTCTCTCCCCAGCTGCCATCTCTGGAGGAACCGGGGCCCCTCATTCATATTCAGCCCCAGTCTCAGGCACCTGGAAGGAGGCAGCACCACCTCCACCAGCACCACACATCCCCCACTGTGTCTATCACCAGGCCCCAACTGAGCCCACCTCCTGTCAATTTTTGGACCCCCGCCTCACGTTACTGGTAAAAGAAAAAGCGACAAAGCTCGAGCCGTAGCCCCACAACGTGCACGACCGCTTTGTTTTTCAAACGCCGAGCCTCACTGAAATGCAAGCTAGAGCCAAGAAACTCTATTAGGAGATGTGGGAGCAACAAACTCCATCAAGGAGATGACACAACCCAACTGATTGGTTGAATCACCCAACGGTGGAAAGAGCGGGAGCGAGAGAGAAAGAGACAGAGGAGCTGCATGCCTTGGTAGACTAGCTCGGGTAACCATGACAACGCAGCCGGGAGAGCAAGAAACAGGAACATACAGAATCTGTTTCTGCTGAGACTTGCACATGTGGCACAGGGCTGCTTTCTCTCCAAGAAGAAAACGAAGGGGAGGTGTGTGTGTGTGTGTGTTTGTGTTTCTACACTTTTATGAAAAATACAACTCACTTGTCTGCCTTAGTCACAGATAGACTCACAACATAAAACATATTTTGGCAAGAAATTAAGCCAAACTAGCATTTAGTGGCAGTTTTTCCTCTTTTTGAACACATCTCCGTGCTCAGTATAAGGACAGGCAGCTCGAACGTGAAATAGATTGGCAGAAAGGCACACACTTTTCCCTTTACACCCACTGTTTCTGCCGATTTTCCTTCCCTGTGCCTCTCTGCCGCTCCCCTTCTGCCTGTCTTTTCTCTTTGCTCTTGCTCCCTCTTTCTACAGGCTCAGTCTAACCTCCCCCTCCCCTTTCCTCAAGGGAATAAAGGTCGTAACGCAAATGATTACTCAAACCCGAGTTGCCATAGAAACGTGGTCATGTGACTGGGGAAGGCATGCATAGACCACAACAAAGAGGAGGATCAGGAACCAGCTCTGGAAAGAGCTGTAGCTCGCCTTACTGGTGCCTCAGTGAATTTCACTCAAACTCAGGCTTTTAAAAATAGGCAGGCGGTATGAAACGCAAGGGGGAGAAAAGTCGAGAAAAACAACTCTGAAAGGAGCTCGGAGCAGTGACTAGAGGCAGTAACTGTAATGAATCTAGGCTGTTACACTGCAGTGTGCCATATATTTTGCCATTCACCAGCATACCATGGGTGTGTCCTATTCATCATGTCCTTCTCGGAGGCAGAGCTCAGGCGCCAGTTGTCTGGAATTTCTGTGAAATGGCGTCAGTTGTAGAAATGTAGAGGGTGGTAGACTTGTGCGCCTCTAAAAGAAGAGTAGGAGTTCAGAATTGAGGCTTTTTTTTGGGTGGGAATGTTCGTGTACAATACATTCAATAGTCTCCCTCCTGCAGAAACAACAAAAGCAGAATTACACTAACTCCATTTCTTAACATTTATTTAGTTTTAAAAAACTACTTTTAAGGTGATAAAAACTGCCCCTATTACTACCACACATTCTACAGGAGTTTCACAATTTGTGGACTTAAAACTACACGTTGATAAATTCCTTTTTTTTTTTTTGCCTCACTAACTGCAGACAGCGAGTTACTACAAAAAAGAAAAAGCCGTCGGTGAGCTTTGGACGAAACTGTCGCAACTGTTGAATGCAGCAGGAAGTATCTGTCAATCTGAAGCAGGAACCAACACCTGGAGCGGAATGAGAAGGAGGCCTGCCCCAACAGGACTCAGTCACTCCGTATCCAACCCACCCCCACTGAGGTTGGTGTGTGTGTGTGTGTGTGCTCTGGCTGAACCCGGCGCGCTGCAACCATCTCTCACAACCATCCGGCGTCCCTCCACGACCGCGCACACACACACACACACACACTGACACATATCCTAACACCCTGTCAAAGCATCTAAACGTGCCTGATCAAAACAACAATAAGCTAAGCAATAAAGCGCGTGGAAGCCGGGACAGGAGATGTTGATAGCCGCATTCATCTGGCCGGTAACAGACGGTAACATTGGTGCGTTCCATCAACACAGGCTCAGCAGAAGGGTCGGGGCGCATTTCCCTCTGATGAAGTCACCACATCTGCAGCTCCGAACGCCGCTTCTAACTCTTTGGATCTTCCTTGTCCTCCATCCGTTTCGCTCGCATCCATGTCCGAGTTTGCCACCAAGCTGGCAAATGAGAACTGTAAAAGAGTCGGTGGGCACACTCATGTAAACAAACAATCAAGAGGGCATGTGAGTGTGGAGTGTGACCCCCTCACTGGCTGCCGAAGTCCACCTCAGCTCCCATGGGGTTTCAGGCAGCAGCTGAGTGTTCAGTGATGTCTGCAATTATCCCGTGTCTAGACAATGTCTGGTGAAAGACAAGGAGACGCACACTCTCCACAGGCTGCTCTCTACGGGAGAAAAGGCCCAGAACAGACCACAATGCCTCAGTGACGTAGCTGTTAATGAAAAGGTTAAGGCCAGACTCAGACCCAGCCAAGATACACAGGCATAAAACCAAGAGGAAAATCTTTCTCCAAAAGGCTCATTTCCCCTTTTTTTCCCCTTTTATAATTCCTATCTATAAAATAAATATAAAAAAATCACTTTATTGTGGGTATATCTAATAGACATCTGCTCTTTCATGAGCTGAGATGTCCCAGCTTTAAGTAAAAAAACTATATGGAACTAGATCTTAAGAAGCTGTGGTTAAGATAAAACATTGGGAATGGGTAAAAAGTAGAAATGGAAATGTTCACGGAAAAAGGTTGCAGTGAGAGGAAAAAACACATTTCAAACAGGGGGTGCAAAGGTCAGAGAATCTAAAGCTCCTCCCTTTAAAAAATGCTCTAAGTCAGCTTTGAAATGAAAACGCTAACTTTTTAAATCATGTTTTACGCTGCTTTCTGGCATATAAAAAAGACAAAAAGAAAACATAGATGGAACTTTCAACCACCAAACTTTATACCTTTGACAACATCGCTGTTAAGGTCTCATTTTGGAATACAGTAGCTTCTCCATATGAAAAAATTACTGAAGTAAATAACTGCAAAATGAAGCAGAAACATGCAGTCTTGAGGCAGAGGTTCAAAGATCTAATGGGCTGTGGTAGCAGAAAAGGCTGGGAGAATGAGCAGGTGTGGTGGGAAAGACCCATGGGCTTCAGGGAGAGAATAGATCAATAACTAATTTCAGTGCAGAGCTTCACTCGCACTGTTTTCCAATAAATGCTGGATGGAGAGTACTGGCTTAGCCCTCCCCCCGCTATCTCTAGTCCATCACCTTCTACAAGCAGATTGGAGTTTGTGGGAGAAGCTTGTTTTTGTCCGTGCCGTGCACATTTAGCTGGGTAGGGATTATGCTCCTGCAGCTTGTGTATGGCAAATATCTAATCCAACCCTACTATTTGTGTGCTCATTCATTCCACATAACCGTCTCTGTATCTTTGTTTTTTCTGTTTTTTTTTTTCAGTGCCTCCTGCAACCCCCTCCCACCATTCCTCATTCAACCCAGGCCAGTGCTGAGGTTTTGTCAAGAGCAGGCAGGCAGATTCAGTCAGACAGGAGAGTGAAGCGTGTGTCATGCAGCCCTGCTGCTGCTGCTGTTGAGGCTCTTCTCCTCAGAGGCTGTGACCTAGATAAACCAAGAGGAGCTGGAGCGCCTGCGAGCCTTGGAGCCACTCCAGCTCCAGCAATGTCAGGAAGGGGTTAGTTGTGTAACACAATGTCCTATTTAGTTTGCCTGTCATCCACACGCACATAGAAAACATGAACACAAACGCATATGGACCCTATACCGCTCCTATACCATCATGCTCTGCGTCTCCTGGTGCAGTTTTCCCGTTATCGAATCTGCGATGCTGCTCTGCACAAGCAGGCGGGTGAGTGAAAAGAGGGAAAATGTGGCTCCAGCGCTCATTAGGATTTAAACATGAGCATTAAGAATGCTTGGTGAAACTTTCTACTCCAGCAGCCACATTAAGTCAGAGCATCTAGACGTACAGAGGCAGTAGCAGTGGAATACTGCCTCTTTTATTTCAGCAAGGACTCAGCTGAGGTTTGGTGTCTGAGCACAACCACGAGGTGAACGCATGGCATCGATTTTACAGGTAGCATCTGGCGCTGGAACTCTTACCCAGAGCGGCACTGCCACTGCATGGACAAATAAACATACTGAAAGTCATAACCCAGTGTCCCACTCAGTCATATGTGACGGCTCGACAGCCCAGCGCTGAAGGAACAGTTTTTATTCTTCCACATACACAAAATCCAAAATACACCAACAACACACTGAAATGATAAAATATTGATGGGCCCTACTCTGCTGGATCGCCTTTAATGGGCCTCACTGTGCAAAACTAAATCTTTAACCCTAAAGTATGAGGTTGTTTTTATGTGCAGGTGCAACACTGCCATCTGGAGGCTGAACATTGCACCGCACTCTCTTATGCCGCTCGTCCTTCACAAGGACGTTCCTGACAAAGAAAACGCTGGTCACGAAGACTAATCAGTACAAATACAGCTTTGTATCTCAAAGAAGACATATATACATTTGTATGTAAAGCTGGCACAGACAGACGGAAGAAAAACGAAAAGAACAAAGGCCTCGTTGGCATGTTACACGTAGCAAAATTGATGAAGAAAATACTTGGCATTAAATGCTAATTGCAACAGGTAAGACTGGAGGCCAGAAAAAACCGGTCGGCTAACATTAGTGCTGGCTCTGTTGGGGCTTGAAGCGGCCCCAGCCTGGCTTTGGGGTGTATGCGTGCTCAGCAAGAAGAAAGTCTTTCAGTCTGTCTGGCAGAGGTAAGGCTTTGACTCGGCCTTCCAGTGGCCAGGGCTGTAGGAAGCTCCTTATGAAAGCCCTACAGAGGAAGCGCAGGGGCGGTGGGCTCGCTTCCCGCTCCACTGTGCGGTTGTGCAGGTCCAGCAGAGCCTGGGCATAGGGGTGCGAGTCCTGCCCAGGCACAGGAAGCTCCAGTCCAGGAGGGAGATGCAGAGTGGGGACATTTACTCTTGCTAAGTCCAACAACACCTCTGCTTGCTCCAAGAGCTCAGAGGCGTGACTTTGATCAGAGCACTGCTGGAGGGATGTTTGGAGCCTCTGGAAAAGGAGGCTGTAGCCCGACCAACAGGAGTCACTGTGATAGGAGCAAACCAAAGAGGCGCCGCTCTGGATTAAGAGCACGGCCAGAGGGAAGAGCAGGTCGAATTTCTCCAGGCTGGTCTGCGTCAGGGAGGCCTCTCCGTCCTCATTCAGGCAGCAGCTGGGGTCCACTCCGTGAGCCAGCAGTAGCTGGGTGGTTTTCACACAGAAGTCCCCGATCTGAGCGGCGTCCTCCGCATTGGCCTCCAGAGCCTCTTTCACCAGAAACACCAGGGAGGACTCCACCGTCTCTCCCTCTACAGTCGCAGCGTTAACGTCCGCACCTTTGGAAAAGCAAAACAACCACATCTGCCACCTCCACTCCAGATGATTCAAACACTGCATGCATCAGGGATGATGAGCACGCGTTTAGGAGGGGGGCGATGAAAACTCGGCTGGAGAGTGAATATTATTCAGCAGACACCGGACGGTTTTGGACCTTAAAGACTAAATCAAGTTTCAGAATGGAAAAAGTTTCTCCAAGCGAGCCATCCGTATCAGCAAAATGAGCAAATGAGGATGTTGTGAGGAAAACATTATCCCCATATTCACAAAGCTCAAAATGAACCACATTAATAGTCAGAGAACAGCTTGTGATTTATCTTTTCAAAATAAACACAAAAAAGAATTAAGATCTCCTTTTCATGTTTAAGTTATTCATATTTTCCCCATTAAAGTCAAGAGTAAAATGTTCCAGTTCCTTTCATGTTGAATGCAACAAATTAACTATTGGTTTTGTGAGATTGGCACAATTAAAGAAGAACATATTGACATACACTCATCTTTTGATTCGGTACTTCAGAAGACATCTTTCTTTGTTTTGCTTGTATTTCTGAAAGAATAGCATCCATTCCTAAAGATTCTCTGTGACTGTTCAGAAAATGCTTAGCTGTTCCCTTTTCATGTGGAAAAACTTGTTTTGGATGGTCACGACTGACTAATCTCTTCAAGGGTTGGCTTATTGAAGCACCTTCATCATTATGCCAGAATGAAAATAGTTACGAGGACTGAACAGGTCGTTTATACAAATTCAGTAAAACTTTGGGTGGTATTTTTGTGTGGCTCTGGATAAAGACTTTTGAGCAAGAGTTGCAGTGGCTTTATTTGAGAGGAGTTAAAAAGAAAGAGGGTTCTCTCAAACAAGAAATGAAGCTGGATGGGATTTTAGGAGTAAATACCTCTCTCAAGCAGAAGCTGGATGTTCCCCGTGTTGTGCACGGTGAGTCCGTCGCTGCTTGCTAATGCGTGGAGCAAAGGCGTCTTCCCTTAAGAGAATAAACAAAGCATTTATCATTCATACTGAATGGATGGATGGACATATGACTGCACATGCTTCCGTTAGGATGACTGGGGTGAACTCACCATGCTTGTCCCTGGCGTTCACATCTGCACCAAGATCTAGCAAGGTGAGCAAACAGGGCAGTCTCTCCGACTCCTCGCTGGCCAGGTCCAACGGGCTGCTCTCGTGAATCTAAAAACACACCGTGTGCAGCATTTACTCCGGATGGAAAAGATCAGGGGACAGGATCCAGAGGCACTCAGTAACTCACCCTGTCCCTTTTCTCGATGTCTGCTCCATGCCCAGCCAGCAGCCTCACCATGTTTGGCCTGTTCCTCAGCACAGCTATGTGCAGGGGGTTGTAGTAGGACACTGGGTCTGGAAAATGGAAAAGAAATGTCATCAAAATACTTTTTAAAAATGATTGTCATTTTGGGAATGATTAATTGCATCAAAAAGATTAGGTTTTAACAATAGATCACTGTAAGTGTTTGGGGAAAGCTACATGAGCTAATGCCCATGGGTGGCATCTAAAAGCCCCTGGATTTCATCTTAAGAAATCAAATAATTATACCCACTACATATAAATAAAGAATAAAAAAAGCTAACAGTAAACTGAGAACACAACAATATAACATCGGTAGCAGGGGTGCTCCACTGGATATGGACTGTGAGAAATGTGAACTAAATAAGCATTTGCTTCAGCACTGTGGCTGTTTGAAGGCCCATGGTCTATTTTTAAACACGAAAGGGAATAAAATACGAGGAAATTGGAACACTTTTGCATGTTACCTGGAAGCATTTGTCAGTGCTAACTTACTAGTAAGAGAAATTCAAGAAATGTGAAAGATGAATGAAGCAGCCTCTCCAAGAGTCAGCTAATTATGTCCCTGGGGAGGCACATGTCTAAAACCACCAGAGGTCACCACTGCAGAAACCTGTCAGAGTCCTGACAGGTCTCATCTCAGAGGCAACACACATAGCATGTTCCAGTGCATTTTGCTGTAGGGAGACTCGTACTTTCACCAGTCTGCCAGTGTGTTCCTTTTGCATGTGCAGCTCTTTAGTTAAACTTGGAAAATACCAGTCTCCTCACATTTTAAGGTGCGATCTGTCATTCAGTATTCATCAAAAACTTAGGAGCATAAACAGGTGTGCCGAATTTCAACTCATAAAAACATTTGCTATAAATCTTATTACAGCCATTCCATATGATGCCACACATTTTGTAGTTTCACCAAGCCTGAAATGACTTTTTAAAGAACTTTGAAGATTTGGTTTGAACTCCAGTCAAAACCTAACATAGTCTTCCAGGCTTAAGCTACAATGATGTGGCATTAGCCACAAAAGTTGCTCCTTTGAAAGGATGTGAAGCCTAAGAAAATACAAAAGAGAGCCAAGACTTGTAGTTTCTAACACCAGCTGCATCGACATGTGGTGCCACCTGTTAACACACTAACAACGCATATGCTCGATCAAACTCAGTTTAGTTCCAACACACTGTCATTTTCAAACAGTGATAAACACATTTCACTTTGTCAGAGTTGCTGTTTTTTTTTATTGAATCCATAAGCAGCCGATGTAATCCATTCATTATGCATTCAGTCATCTACACACACAAATAATCTCCATATCATTATTTAAAGTGATCCAAATACTGTTTTTTCATTTCAATTCCTTGATAAACAAATGTCAGGTAAATGGAAACAATAGCTACTCACCCTCAAAGTTGACATCAGCCCCATATTGCAGGAGGGTCTCAGCTGCACACACCAGTCCCCGCTCGGCCACTTTAAACAGGGCGTAGCTGATGCCTTCCAAAAAAACTTCTGCTTGGGACTCTCGCTCCAGAAGCTCCACTAAAGAGCTACACCGAGCAGACTCATCTTCAGAAATTCTGTAAAAAAAGGCATATATTGAAGTATCAACACTCCCTGAAACGCCACAAGTTACCTATTCACTTATTTACCTGCTGTGACTTGAGCTCTTCCGGTTCCGGTCTTACCTGTTCTGGCTACTGTCCTGTTCTTCCTCCAGTCCTACGACAAGCATGACGGCGTTTACCAGCGGCTGATACTCATAAATTATCCTTCGAAACCCATGGAGGAAAGGCATGGCTCCTCCGCTCGCAGAAGTCGTATTTCCAGACCTACAAAAGAGGGGAGAATATCATGAAAATGCGTGACAGAGAATGAATGCGGGTCATATCTTCGGCCTCCTCAGTTATCTTCTGTACACAGCTGACACGTGTGTTTTTAAACGGGGCTGGAACAGCAAGATAACTTTCAAATATAAACACCATTTAGGGTGTGTTACATTTAAAGTAGTCTGCCTTTATGTATTGTTGGTCTTATGACAGCGTTTAGTTTTAATAGCAGTATTGTTTGGCTACCTAGTTTATGACATTAGAAAACAGCCTTATGGTAAATATTTGTACTGCTACGTCTAACGATAGCGCCACTGGTTAAATGTAATTGATTGATTTCATTTACTTGCAATTCTTATCCACAAATAGGAAGAAAACTCATATGGTGTCACGTACTCACGCCTGCCTTGTTTAGCAAAACGGGAAGTTTCTCCGCCTCCCCTACGCCCTCCTGAGTCCGACGCGGAGAAAGTCCCCATTTAAACCACAGTCTAACAAAGGTTCCTATTGGCCTCATTAAAATAACTTTACCTTTAAAGAAAAAAATGTTATCAACACACCCACCTGCACTCAGGAAACCAGACAGGTAATTTTTTAGCTTATAAAAAAAGGTTATTTTTTCCACTATGACAGAGGGAGCAAGACAAATGCTTATTAATAAAATATCTTATTTTGTATGTCTTGGTAGTCTGACGTGTCCTGTTTATTTTAATAATATCAATTTTTTATGTTGCTAAAACTATGATAATTACTCAAACAACTTGTCTCAACTTTTTAGTATACTTTTCCTTGATAAAAATAACCGTCATTTATATGTGATAACTCTAATAAGAGAGAATTCTTAATATTTTAATGTCATCCAAAGATCAAATAATTGATGTAGCTATTACTTTCTTAGACAAATGTTACATTTTAACAGCTAAATTCAACACCAATACAAAGATCTCTCTTTTGTACGGTAATGTACCATTGCAGCTATCAGATTTTCTTTTCATTTTCTCTTTTTCTTTCTTTTTTTTCCTACTCCATTATGCTGGCAGCATCTGGATTCTAACATTCGCCTTTGTTCTGTTCATAAAACAAACCCCTGCTGTGTCTGATTTTAGAGACAGATGGCTTGCTTTGAAAAACACAGAGGAGGGCTTTCTTACCAGATGCCATTTTTAAAATGCGCGAGTGTTTTTCTAAAAGAAAGCTGTTTTAATGAAGTTCTTAAGTAGACATAATTCCTAATTTGATTTTGTTCTCGAGGACAACAATATGTACCTATGGATTCAAATGTCATGCCGGAGAGGACATTTTATGTTCCAGTGACACATAATTTTTATGACTTAAAGTCTTATATTTCTTGAGTAGGGAATTGTGAAATAACTGAGAATACATAAAACTTAAACTGAATATTTTTTTGTGATGGCAACCTCTCCGGTTTTCTGCATGGGCTGTTCATTTGTTTAACTAATTCTCTTGAAGGATTATAGATGATACTGTCTGGAAACTTCCTGTCTTCAGATTACATTACCCTTTGTACAATTTATTTTCACCGTATTCTTTTAACTATAGCACCAACATCTTCATGAAGCTTCTACTGAACGTATTTTCTATCAGAGGAGTGTGAAAATGACTCAGAGATGAGGAAGTGAACCTTATTTACTTGAGCATCTTTGCTGTAGTGATGTTCTGTCTTTAGGTGGCAGCATTGCAACACTGGCGTCGAAACTGTGAACTGGAACTTGTAGTGCACTGCTGTTTTGATATGGCTCATGCATCTGTAAATATTTTTACATGCGCATGAGAGTAAACATAACCCATCATGTAAATGTGGACATGGGCTGTGTCTAAAACAAACAGCAACAGGAGAATCTATTAGACCCACTGAGAGCTCCTCCTCTGAGGTGGAAAACAGAATGCAGTAATTTAATCAAAGTGTGATTCATTTTAATTTTGTCACTTTCAGGACGATTCCAGTTTTCATATCTAACTAACCAAATCAATAAAGCATTGTTCCCTGTACGGATGGCAGTTTGTGTGTAATCTCTCTGATTTCTCCCTTTTCTCCCAAGGTGCAATTCGTTTAGCAATGATTTCCAAACCATGTAGTCATTGATAATTTACTCAACCTTTCTTTTGACAGAACCGCAGGTGATGACTTTTGGAGTCATTGCGCGCATGGCTTCCAGCTCCCTGATGAAGCTCACAATCTCTGTCTTCCCACTCTCGCTGCAGAGGCTCACAGTTTCCAGATGTGGATTGGGTTTCTGGACGTGCCGGGTGGCCTGCTTAATCCAGCGCTGGACCATAAAAAAGAAATGTGTACTTGAACTGTAAAGCCCCCTCTGAGGCTTCAGGTTCAGCATTACGGCCGGCTCTTTCGGAGGTTTTACAGGCCTTGATGTTGCTTTGTGTGGTGTTGTTCTCAAAGCACTGCATGTTAAGGCCCCGCAGGCATCAAAACAAAGGCTTCAAAACTGCTTTTGAAAAAAAAATTCAGAGCCACAGTTCTCAGAACCACTGTTTCACAGTTTTATGTAGTTTTTTCCTTCTTTTTTGCCCTTGACCATAAATTAATCTTGAAACATTCCTAAAATAAGGGATTTGAAAAAAAAAACAAATAAACATTTCCCATTTATACAGTAATGCTTCCCCTCATTGTGCCTCTCATATTATAGGGTTAGGTGACCCCCTCACCAGGATGATAGTTATTAAGGAGTAATGGCTGTAGTCAGGAATAGGGTTTTCGTCAAAAATATCACCCTTTGGATTGTTTGTCCTTTTCTTGACGTCTAATTTTTTGTTGGATTGAAGAGATGGATTCAAAGAGGGAAAAGAGAAGGGAGATAACTGCAGTTCCATTCCTATACCCCACACCAGTAAATTGGCTCTATATTAAATTTGGGCCTCATCTATCAATACAAAGAACAGTATCGAAATTACTTTGTTGCCCACAAATCGTGGCCAACAAATTGAGCCTCTCCTGAAACAAGGCCATCATTTATCTGGTTCACATTTCCTCCCGCGGTGAAAGGAAGCAGGACACAATAAGACTTTTATTTGCTCCCCGGGTGATAGATGTGACCCCCTCGAACCTCTGATTACTAGATTAACACAAGTGGAGTAAGAATCTATAAAAGATTTTTGACCTGTTGATTCCCTCTCTTTTCATCACCCAGCGCTGAGAGCCGGAGGAGTGGGATTCTCCTAAAGTCAAGGAGATTTACATAGCTAAAGTGCTCTGGGCTATGCAAAGTAGAGTAATTTGTCCCAGGAGGGTGATGCATAAAGGAAAAGCTAATCAGCGTGAATATGGAGTGTTAAGCAAACACAAAACTCTTCTGCTCCTGGAAATGCTGTACGCTCTAAGGTGAAAGGTGAAAGGATGCCCGCAGTGAAGGTGAACCTGAAGCCAGTCGGTTGATAATGGAGCGGCAAAGCATTGTGGTTCTGGTTCCTTCAGTGACGTACGGTGAGCTGGAATTATCAGGCCAGCAGGTCTGGAATCTCCTTTTGTGCTGGCAGCATATTGCAAAGTGAAGATTGTGGATGGAAATAATCAGCCTTTTTAAAGGTCAGAGGAAGTTAAGCACATCCAAAGTAGACGGTGACACATTCCAGCTGATAAGAAATAACTGTGTGTGTAAAGAAGAATGAGGAGAGTTCACCTTGTTCCATTTATGCTATCGTGATTGCTCAGCTGTCACTCAAATATAATGGCACATTTGCAGTTAACCCAAGTGTGACTATGAGAAATTCTTTGCATGGTCCTTTGAGGCGGTATTGAAATAAAGCTCTGATACAATGGTCATTATAGGCCAAACATCTGATTTTTCAGAATGCTTGGCATGGCAAAGTAATAATAAAGCATCTGCATACATTTTCGAGGTGGTGGGAGCTGTAATTACAGCCAACATAGAAATGACTGACTTCATTTAACCAGCTACAAGTGAACATTTAAGTATGTGGAGGTTACTTAGCAACATACAATCACGTTTAAATGTCAGATGGCTTTGCATAGAATATCTGAAGCAGCATACATTTTACACCGTATATAATGTTTTGAGTTTGAGATCATCAATTCATAAGAAGTGCACAATATGCAAAAGGTAAACATTCAACTATTAAATTACAGTGTGTGTGTACTGCCCTCTGTAGTTCCATATATTTAAGAGAATTTGTTTCAAAATTCAAAATTGATAGATATGTATTAAGAATGTGTTTGTTTCCTTCACTCTAATGAGATTGAAGACAGTTTATCTTAGTTTCTGTAGCTCAGAAGGAAGAACTGTTGTCTGCCATTTAGAACCCATCACTAGCTTGATCCTTAGATTCTTCAGACTACGTGTTTAAGTATCTTACCGGTTAATACACTAATCTTTCATTGCTTCCCTGCAGTACTGTGCAGACTCACTCTGGCTTGCGTGGGTGAAATTGGCTTTTAGTCTTGTGAACAAGAATGGTGGAATATAAATACATTTCATTAACGAGTTATCTACTCCAGATAATCCTCCTCCTGTTGTTATGTTTGGGTTATTGTGTTTTTTTTATCATTGGGCACTGACATTGCCATTGGTTGAGTGTGGAAAGAAAATGACAGGTCCAACCATTTGGGACCAGTGACTTACAGCACTGTATGCCATAGGAAGGTCACTCTTTGCCTTTCCTTTGGGCATCATTCTTGAAAACAGAGTGATGGCCCCAGAGAGGCAGATAAGTAAACAGAGTTTTTAATGGGCTGTGGATTGCTGGTGGTAATCTGTGCCGGCCGGCAGTGGGCAAGGCACAGAGGGCAGCATGGCGCTCTGCAGCGGTTATTATTAATGCTATCATTGATCAGATAGGCCCGAGGATGAGAATGAAAGGATGGTGATGAATTTGGGCACCCTGTCTACCAAGTAAGGTGAGGACATGCCACTGAAGCTGCTTAAGGTCACGGATGAAAGATACCTCCCAGAAGAAGACACAGGGGATGATTCATTATGTTTAGTACGAAATGGCTCTCTGCGTCCAAAAGAAGGTCACGGGGCGACAAAGGGAAATTAAAACAGAAGAAAATCTGCCCTTGGACTGCTGCTAGCTAACCATGTAGTGTTCTCATTTGAACTGTAAAAAAAGCTCTGGAAATTGTTTGATTAGCAGCTCAGTTTGAACTTTGACATAAACATTTCAGTGTTCTTGGCAGGTTTCTCCACAGTTGTGGAGGATTGAAACGCTCACGTTGCTTCTTTCTTTTCATTTAATCCTTTACTGGTTCCATGATGTGGGATCAGGAACCCTGAAGAGATCAGACCATCAGGACTGTTTCTTCTCCTTTTGTGACTGAAAACATTATTTGGGACAGTCTTTTCAGATGAAAAGACTGTCCAGAATGATTTTCTGCTACTACTGAAATGAGAATGGTTTAATAAAGAGGAATCTAAACATGTATAGGGTCTATAATTTTGTACATCCCTCCTCGTTATATTTCTGTGACAGTTTGCTGCGTACTTGGCATTAAATGTTGCCCTCACTAAAAGCAAAACTGTGTAATATTCCTGAGTGGAGTGTGTGGAAATGTGTCTGACAGTATACAGATTGTTGCGTCTGGATGTGTCTGGCATTTCGGTCTATGGTCTATTTTCCTGGCATGAAAGCCTCAAGATCTCTTTTCAATACTTCAAAGACTTGAGACCTTTTCCCAGACATCAAAGTGTTCCGACCTGTCCTCTGAGACGTCTCTAGATCTAAACATCACTTCTGTAAGGACACAGTCACTTTTTTTTCTATCTCCGAAATAATCGCTGCGATCAGTCTTACTATTTAGAAAAAAAAAAGGTTTCCATGTTTTCCAAGAAAAAAACAAACATCACATCCCATCATCTGTTGGATGGATGCGTAGCTGTGCGTGAGCCTTAACAGTGCAAATGTGTTTTTAATTTCGCTCAGGAAATGGACCTACCATGTGAAATATAGCAAGGTCAGCTGTTTTAATGACCTGCAGCTATGGACCATGTAACTAAATCCACTGGAATCGGGTCTGGGGCTGGCTCTGCTTTCAGGCAGCTGAATGGACCTCAGTGTGGAGGAGGCTTCCTGGGATTTGACTGAGTGCTGGGCTGAGGAAGGGGTGACTTTTGGACGCCGACCAGCCTTTGTGTGAGTGATGTTCCAGTCCACCATAACAGCAAGTCACAGCTTCACATCAACACTTTTGTCCAAATGCTTTTCGCAGCTGTAATTGAAGAAAGTTGTATTCAGGATCAAATAACGCATGTTTAAAAGGAGGTAAAAGCTTGGGTCCTTGAGGAAAAAAAATGGAATTTGAAATAAACCAGAGAAAGCGGTTTAAAATGGGGCCAAAGTGTCCATCGGTTTTGGCTAAAAAAAAGTCAAAATCCCTCTTGCAAATACAAAGGTGTAATGGGAAGACTGACAGAACCCAGCATTAGGATAGTCCACATGCTTTCATGCAATGTAAATCAAAGTTTGACATGTTGTGCATCATCAGCCCAAAACACCTCATCAGTTACTTTTCTACGGTCAAAAGTCAAACTAATTTTTGGACTTATCTTACAGTGGGAACAGAGCTGGCAGACAGGCAACATACTAAAACACATCATCTGGAAAAGAGGGATTAGACTCAGGGCCTCTCATCTGATTTTTCTGCCTTTAATGTTTGTGAATATTGCCTCTACCTTCCCCTTACCACAGGATCTGGAAGGAAAGTATCAGTTGAAAGGGAAATCTTCTTTGATTAGGGATTTCCCCCCCTTTCACTAACCATGTTTTTACTCTGATCTATTAATCAGCAGTCACAACTGCGGTTTAAAAGCAGCAAATTTTCCAAACTGTGTGAAATATGACTAACGTTTAGATTGCCATACCAATTAGTTTGCTTCACTTTATCCATTTATGAAAAATATATTTAGAAGACCCCCCCTTTGAAGGAAGTTGATCACAGGAATGAGCATATGTGAAGAAGAGTGAAAAATTGAATGAATACAGATGACTCATTCAGAAGTGCCTGAAAATAAAACTGGATGAACTATGCAGCAAATGGATGTTTCCCTTTCATCATAATCGAGCAGAGTGATGCAGGATTTTAAATTATTCAAAAAAGTAATTTATTTTTTCGCCATAAATTGCACTCTAGTGTTGAATTTGACAGTCCATAGCATGAAATGCCCTTAACGCTCCACCTGCATGACCTAGCCATGTGCTTTACTCCAGAATCCACGCCAGAGGGGGTCGCTAGTGCCTTCCTAGTACGCAGCCGTGCAATCAACTACACTTGTTCCACAACAACTTTTAAAACCTCATTTTTTGTCGCAGAGGACAACGATGTCCAAGGGGATTTAACATTTTCACACCAAAACCGTAACTTTGCGTAAAACACACCCAGTCAGTCCTGTCTGAGAGCGAAACACCTCCGAGACTAACATTTATTTAGGAAAATGGGGAATTCAGGTGGTTAAAAGAGTCATAGAAAAAATGTCTTCCACTCTACATCATCGATGAGGTATGATTTTCGTGAAACGAAAGGCGCCTCCCGATGTGCGCCACTGGCAGTTTTATTGTAACAGCTTTCTTCCCCCTCTGCTGCTCTCGACGCGCATTGGATGGACTGACAGTGCGTAAGCTCTGGACTCTGCTGCCTGTAGACTGTCTACACAAACACTGAAAAGATGAAGACTTGAAGAGGGACTTTATTTATTTTTTGGCAGAAAATCCAAGTCACCCTGGTGCCAAACTCTGCTCAGACATGGCAGTGGATCATTAGCTCTCGTGCGTCCTGGTGTGACGGCTGCACGCTCTGGTTGGAGTTGCGCGCAGGACTTCACGGAACGGAAAAAAGGCTGAGACGGCGTGGATGCTCGCTCCTGATGCAGCGGCTTGAACTTTTCTACTTCTACATATTTCAGCATGTGTGATCGCGAACGGAAAGTGCTTTCATTCGCCCAGAAGTACCGGACTTTACGCACTTACGCCTCCAACTTCGACAACCTGGTGATGTAGAGGCAACTGAAGATAAGGGACTGAATATACCCCTCACTCGAGCTTTGACTCTTTTTTGAATGAAATTGATTATTCCCTGAAAATGATTTTGCAACTGCACCACTGCAGGCGTTCCATCGTGATTTGAGACACTGCATGGGTAAACGATTACTTAAAAATGCAGGAAAGAGTGATGCAAAGCTGTGGACAAATCCTCTCTCTTCAGTTTTTGAGTTCTCCAGACAATACAAAGTCATTAAGAAACTCCTGAGAAGACGTTCCGAATTGTTCAGACTATTTACTGCATTTCCAAATCCCAGGACTCCTGCCCCCCCTCAGATAGAAGCATTTCTTTATTTTCATTAAAGACACTGCATGTAGGATTTTATTCCCTCTCTTTTTTTTTGTAAAAGCTCAAAGAAACATGTTGCATATCCTGGTGCTTCAGTTGGTGGCGTTACTTTTGGGAGGTAAGCATTGTTTCTGTCAATTTCAACAGGGAATACTTTTGGCCTAAAAAGTAGTCGGGTAGAGCTAATGACTGATGGCATGTCTTCAAATTGGGGCTTGTTAAACCTAGATAAACTCAGATGCAGGACAGCCGAAATCCTGTGTTTTGTTGTCACCCTGATTTAAATATTTGTTCATACAGTTCTGTTATGCATAAATGTTAGATTTACAATCAGTCCCTGCTCCTAATTAGAATGATATTAGGAGGTGGTTCACCATTTAAAACACCTGCAGCTCTAGCCTTTCTCTTCTTTTCCTGGTGAATGTTTCTAAATGCCAGAGGTTTTTTTGAGCCTGTGTCAGCTCTTGCTGAGTCAAGTTACGATATCACAAATATGCCTCAAATCCCACAATGATCTCATTTGAAAAGTTTCCTGACTTTCAGTGCTGAGAGGTTCTCACATAGCTGAAATCTCACCTCTACAGCAACAGTGACAATGTCAGCTGGAGACAAAGATCTGTTTTTAACCGGAGTTTCTCACCTTTATAAGAGTTCATGTTTATTTCACTCTGTGCCGACGACATTGCACCAGTCAGTTAGCAGAGAAAAGACCAGGTTTTGTATCTGCCTCGCACATCCAGTGGAGCTCTGAGGGCAGCTGGCTGTCTGGCTAATGAATCCCCTCTGTCCGCTGGGAAAAGGGCTTAACATAAAAAGCTATTTAGAAATGCGATCCTCTCCACTAATGGGACCATTTTAAATGGTAAACTTTTACTGGTCAACTGCAAACTATCAGCTGTGCAACTTCCCTCTTTTTTTTTGGCTTTCTTTTATTTTTATTTTTTACAAACCATGAGTCCTCATTAAGTTGCAGCCTGTGATGGATGTGTTATGGTCCAAATAAAGGAAACACTTGTATTGATTCTCCACAAGGTTAGGATCGTGCATAACCAGAAAGATAGTCTTTCACTGAACTACACATCCTAAGACTGCAGCCTTCGTGGCACCTAGGTGCCGCTCCTTTCTTTGGGAGATCACTTGTCAGCACCTCTCTTAGGAGTGCATGACTCATTGGCCTGAAGAGTACGGTAATGATGCTTGCCTTATGCCGAGGCCCTCTCAGTCACCATGCACAGTGTGATCCTAATTGAGCATTGTGTGTCATAAACCTGCAGGACACTGCCTCTCATGGTGAAAAGTGATGAAAATTGATAACACAGACCAGGAAATGAGAGGATCTGGATCCGCACAAGAAAAATGTCTGTCCAGCATAATGAGGCTATAATTAAGGAGGGGAATCGACTATTCTGGTCTGACTGCGACCAAGCCCCCTTTGTTATGAGAAGCTTAAATACTATGATAGTAGATAGTTATCATGCTTAACATACTGCTCTATAATTGGTTGCATTTAATACAATGGATAGTCCAGTGCTTGTCACATAAGAAGCATTGTCCTCTTTTTTTTTTATTAGTTGAAAACATGAGGTGCCTTCCAGTGAGGCACCTCAACGGAATCATGGAGAGGTCTCGTCCTTCTTCCTTTTGCCTTCAGCACTGAGCACTACGCAGCCCAGGCGCCCGAATCCCCACCGAGGGGATGTGAGCTGTCCTGTTGAATGTATTTATTTTTTCAACGCCAAGGTTATATTGCCTCAGCCGAGAGTCTTAGTCTCACACTGGAGACTTTTTATCTCTAACTGTCCTCACAAAGAAGCACTTGTGTGGCCCCCCTCCCCTCAGTGTGCACATTTGTTTAGCCCCTGGCAGTCCTTCCAGCTCCACAGTTAATGCCAGTGAGCAATGAAGGACCAAAATGTTAAAAAAAAAGAGGACAACAGAAAAAAAGACAGAAGTGACAACACATTGAAACAAACAAACTGTGACATTGAGTATTTGATTGAACTGTGAACATTTGCCACACTGTTGTGACAATATGAGGATGCTCGGTCCGGTGGAATTTTACAGGTCAACTTGACTCTGCATCACATGTCCCTGTGCACTGGAAGATCTCAGATCCAGCCGAAGCATTCTCATGAAAACCTGTAATCATAAATTCTGTTTCATACCTGTGACAGTTCATCAATTATAATTGTATCAGGAGCATATGGGCATTAAGATTTTAAATGAGCCCCTGCCTTGTGGGGGGCTTGCACTGGATAGATACCTGTAATGTCACATTTCCGGCGCGCTGGTGTTAACTAATTTATTTACAGAACAGAGAGCATGAAAAGAAAAGTAGAAATCCCTGGCTTGGTGGTATTTTTATCAAGGCTATCTTACAGCTGTGCTCTGAGCTCAGAGTAGCGCACTTCTGAGATTTACGATGGAGGACACTGATGAAAAGAGGCATATTTTTCTCTTCTCTCAAATCCAATTTTGCGTGGCTGTGGTGGATTCTTTGGTTTGGAGGGAGAATAAAACAGAGTATAACAGCAGCAACTCTGCACAAGATGTCATTTCAATTTCCTCGTACTTTAATTTCAAACCATCAGAGTTGTTGTTTGCTCTTCGTAAATGTGCAAAACTCTGCACCTTGTTTCTTTAACGACTGCTTTATGAGACACACTGAGTAGGTGGGCTCTTCTAATTTCCTTGTTGCGCGCCGCCATGCGCATTACACATAAAATGTGTGTGGGAAGTGTGCATTGTAGTTTCCTAATCACCGAGTCAAAAGAGGTTTTCTGCCCCAGTAAATTCAAATGTCATCAGTATAATGTCCTGTAATATTTCCACAAAGCTTATCTGCTCTCTGTTAATTGGCTCTTTGTAACTGCTGTGATCTCAGATTCAATTCAATCAAAAACTCACCATTAAGCGAGTTGTGCGGAGGAAATCTGTGTAAAAGCTTTGAAGGGGGCAGGCTTTGAATGCTCGTGCCTTCCTGAGGAGGGGCGTCATTGCAATAATTGACTAACATGCTGATGTAGTATTTGTGTGCGTTTCTCATCAGCGAGCGGTTGTGTCTGAACACAGGGCTTGCTCTTCATAAATCTGTTTGAGGGAGTTTCTCGAAAGGCTCGCTGACTGATCGGGACGAGTTGTGCCGCAAACACCGGAGACCAGAAACAGCTTGTGCCAGACTGCACACTGCTGCACTGTCATTGTTTAATGCGCAGACGATAAATCATAGTTAATCACGAACACGGGCTGCAATGGCAATTTCAATTAAGAATGGAGCTTGTTAGAGCTGTGATGAGCTAAATGCTAAATTTAATGCTAGCATGCTCTCAGTGACGGTGCTTAGCATGCTGATGATCATTCCAGCAGGATTTACAGAGCTCAACCAAATATCTTTCACAGGGACCAAATGATGGACTGCAACCTGCTCTAATTGTATCAGCATAACAAAGGACTCAGGTTCAGTTGGGTTTGTGTTCGGGGATCTATCAGCCAAAACATATGTCGGTGTGTCAATGGAGATAGTCTTTGGTGGTAGACGGACCCAACACCAGCACTTTATGATGATGAACTGTTCTTTGACCCCCATTAGGAGGCCCCGTCTCGTTTCATTTCAACATGGCTCTTATCCGTTTTGCTTTTCTTCAGTTTCCCATATGAACCGCTTGGTTACAGCTAAGGCATAAAACACTGCGAACATTTAAATAACCTGGGAATTTTAAAGTTAAATGTGGAAGGTAAATATTGAATGTAGTTTCAAAGGCCATATACAGATTATTGTCCTGAAAAGTCTGTGCTTTAATGTATAAATGTAGCACATGAGTAAGATAACGTTGACTGATTGACTTAATTCTTTGTACAAACTGGTAAGAATGTCATTAGTTGTACATTAATTAAATTTGAATGTATTGGAGGAATTAAAATTTAATATATTGGATCAATTAAATTTTGATTAAATGGATGGATTGAATAAGGATGCAGTGGCTCAATTGAATTTGGATCTATTGGATTAATTAAATAAGAATGAAGGGAATGAATCATTTCTCTTTTCCAGAGTGGGTTAAGCCTTCCAGACGTGGAAATGAAATGCCAGGGTACCATGATTCCATCTTTAAAACACATTTCGAATCCATCCAGTTGTTATGGTTGTCTCTGTCAAAAGCACATGTATCATCCTCACAGATTTATGAGACCGAAGGCTGAGGGACCCCCAACATCAGCTGGAGTCAATCTCAGTGTGCCATGAATTCTGTTCAGCATTTTATCTGTCCTATAGCTGGATGGTGACATTTAAGACTTGATTTACAGGTGGGTTATGCCTTATATAAACCTACTGGCCAGGGAAAAAAAAGGCCCTGCAATATTTTGCAAGACCACCTTGAACTTTGATTATGGCATTGCATCATTTTGAAAAGTTTATGTAGTGTTACAACATTTTTTTTTTTCCTTTGCGTAGAGTTCAGGGTAAATCTCGCCTCATCAGACCACATGGCCTATTTCCATTGCTCCAGAGTCCAATCATTGTGCTGTCTCACGAACTGAATCCTTTTTAAAGTGTTTTTCTTCAGGGTGCTGTTTAGTCTCAGTCACGTCAGATCTCTTTGTGCTGTGCTTTTAGAAATGCTCTGACTTTTAAAAATGAGTCCTAGTGGTTTTTATTTTTTTCTTTGTAAGCCTTATTTCTTTCACAGATGGTCCTAAACTCAATTTCAATAATTTTAGGCTTGGAACTGTTTGCCTGTTGAGGACTAACTAATCAGAATTTTCTGTAAAAAACAAAATAAAACTGAACAGTTAAAAATGAGAGGCTGTTCACTGCAGAAATTTAAGTTGCATAACTTTTTTTCCAGCTGGAGCCTAATAATTACTTCACCGATGAGAGAGCTCTTACCTGTCTGATTAGTTTAATCCAGGGGGTGACCTTTCTTTTTAGCAGGCAATGTAGATTAATTGTATCATTAATGTTATCATTCATTCACTCAATCATCATTTATTACTATGAAGTAACTGAACAGATTGTATTGATGTTTTGTCTTAATTGCTTGTAAAAACACCAAAGTTATTAATATTTGGTAGGTTTGAATTACACACCCTTCATTTTCATAGTCCTGCTCATTAGTGTATTCCAGTAAGTATGAGCTGCCGTTCTGTGGCTGGAACAATGACCTCGTAAAGCGACAACCTCCTGTGGTAACACAAGTGCTGTACCAAGTGCAGACTTATATGATGTAATGTTTCTGCAACAGAAGAACTGACACTGAGAAATGGAACTCCAAAAAAAGAAAGTCAGTGGCAGTAATGATCATTTGTTCTGATTTTGGCTCTGGAACACATGCCATGGTGTGCGCTCTAGTTCTCGTGCACATCCAAACCTCTTTGCAAATTTGACTTTGTAGCTACACAGAATTGTCCAATTTATGTCCAAAAGGGTGCCAAAATATCCCCTCATGTAGTCTGCTGGGCCTAGCGTTCATACATCTATAAACTGTTGCAGTTAACTTCCCACAGATATCATTCTCTTGGAAAATGCACATTTTCATCAACCGTTTGAGGCTTTGGCTTTTTTGTCACTCATTTGAAAGAATTCAGTGTGTGCATTCTGCATAATCGGGCTGGAGGAAAAAAAGACATTTCACAGGGTTTACTGTGAATCCCAGGATATGCAAAAGCACCAGAACAAGAAGTGGATTATGGTTTTATTCAACAGCACATTAGTAAAATGCCATTAGTCGGTGAGCTTTCTCTGTAAACAAAAACTGCTAAGGCGGCATTGCACAATATTAGATATTTATGTAATATATTCTGCATTAAGGCTTTAGCAACAGTAATACGCCATAGAACTTAATTTTCTCACAGATGGTTGTTTCTAAAAATATTTAAACAATTGCAAAGTCTACAGAGAGCCCAAACATTTGCACTCTGCCGTCCTCAACTCCCGCCCACGGGGATGTGTCCACGATTTAAAAATCAACATGTTTCCAGTATGAGCTGTTTCGGAAGGTTGGACAAGAAGTTGTCACTGCATGTAAAAAGATGCGCCATTTGGTTGTATGCAGCGCTGTCACTACCTTTCAGAGTCGTCTGACCTTAATACATTAATGGCATACATCTGACAGGTACATGCAGTCAGGGCCCATTGGCTTCTTTGTGGTGTGGCTGATTGATTGTTGAGAT